TCTCACTGAACATAACTGTTCCTTATGGAACTGATTTACTATTCGGTTCAGAGCCAAGAGGCAAACTACGAGTTTTTGCTCGACTTGCAGAATTTTGCTATCAGCATAATGAAAGAAGGAGCCGGCGCGAATCTAGTCTACCATGCAATCAAGACGAAGGTGGCTGCAGACCGTCCCGAACTTGAGTCTCATCTTCCAAAGAGTTTTGGATCCGGTGTAAGCTTCCTATGTCACATCAACTGTTTTATTGGCCATCCATCTAGAGATCATGTTATCAAGAAAAGTGGATGTCTGATCTTTCTGCGCGTGTCTGTTTTTTTTATTTTTCTCACTCTTAGCTGGGGGTAGAGTTTGGGGACCCATTCTTGAGTTTGAAACCAAAATGCACTCGAGTCTTGAAAACGAAGATGATATTCTCGTTATCGCTATCCTTTACGAAGCTGAAAGATCCGATGGAAAACGATAAGACGTACTCGCTCCAGCTTACAGACACCGTGTTGGTAGGGCAAGAAGGATCGATGGTCTTGTCGGATCTCCCAACAGAACTCTCGCAGATTACTTTCTTTCGTCATCATCCAGCACCCAGAGATCTCCCGCAGGAACAAGATGGACACAGCCCAGCTCGAAGCTTCGGTCAAGGTGATGCAGATAATGATGGGAGTATTGCTGGGGAGACGATTATTCCTGAAGGGGCACGGTCGAAAAGGCCGAGGAGCTTTCCCGAAGAGGCAGATGACGCGACTAAACGCCAGAAAGTCGCTTCCTCTTCATCTCCGCCAAACCATTGTGATGTCAATTTCCGCTCAACATCCCCGGAGAAAAGAGCTCATGAGGAAGAAGAAGATGGAGACGACCGGTGGCCAATCTTCAAACAGATGGGTCGTTTTTTAAACAGGTTAATGCATGTTTGACGTCACTAGAAGCACAAGTACACACAGATAAGGAAATCTTGCGAGCAAGATTCCAAGGGTCCATAAAACTCAAGTCAAATTTTGCTTGGGAGTAAATAAAAATGAAAATTCCAGATGTCGCGTTCAGGGCTGACTTGGACCCATGTTTTGGATCTTCATTTTTCCACACACAAAAACACTTTATCTCTTCCCCTATGAATTATCTCTTGAAACAAGTTAATGCCCAATAGATATTTACACTGGGCTGAAGGCAAGGGAAAGAAAACAGATCCCAATTTCCTCCTCAGCCGTAGGGTTCAGAGATGAGATGAGGCAAAGGAAGCATTATTTTTTTTTCTCCTTGAGCAATGCTCTTGAACTTCCTGTCAAGCAGATGTGTAGATACATTTTGGAGTTCTGGTTCTTTGCTCTGCAGATGATACACCCCGTTTTTTAGTGCTTATTGTTTTGATTTTCATTTGTGGCTAGGAGTAGGGCCCAGTAGAAAGAGGCTATTCTAAGTAGTCATATATTGGATGAGATTCTTTACCAAATATTCTGTATTTTGTTTGGCTGTAAATGTTAGAATTGGTTTTGTGTGACCATCGGTGCCAGTGAACTTTTACTAAATTCGGATTTGACTTTGAATATGCATTATTCAACTCTGCTCCCGATTCGACCCAGTCTGGGGATGTACCGGGGGGTGAGGCAGTCATACCCGAATGGAATCGGGTGAGAAGGCACAGTCAGCTTGGTTGGTTGGTCACTTCACCTTCAAACAGTCAACCTGTTTATCCGGAATCGGTCGAGCGATGTTTGTTTCTCCAAGAAGATTACGACTAGCCACGCAAAATGGAAACGCTATCCTCCTACAGTCTATCGCTTCAAGTCGGCTGGACCCCTCTATCCGATCTTCAGTCCAAGCTCCTCAATCTAGGAAACTAGGCTCGATTGCAAAGATCCAAGCACTCGGTAAACCTGCAGGCGCGGAAGAGGAGGAAGACGATCTTCTATCTAGTCTCACAAAACGTAGAGGAGGTCGAACTAAAAAAGGTATTCAAAAAATCAGCCCAAAAGATTGGCTATTGACTGAAGAGGGCTTGAAGTTTAGACATCCAACGATCGGTAGACCGAATTGGCTGGGTGATGAGATTGTCAGTCCTCAGATTCTCCTTACACATCGGCTATGTTCAACGCCTATCTGATATTCTGAACCTCCTTTTTTTTATTTCTCTCCAGCCGTTCCCGACCAATCCCTGGTTCAAACCGCAGCCGCCAATCTCAGACAAAATTCGTACTCAAGTCTATGAATCATTCAAACAGCGAATTCATGCAATCTACAAGCAACAATCGTATCCCAATTTATCCCTGGATGAGAAAACAAGACAAGAACAAATTTTGATCCGAGAGACATCAGATCAATGGGGAATCTGTCGCGACCGAGTCTCCGCGATCATCAGATTGAAGGCGATGGAAGACTCTTGGCCATTGAACGAGACAAATGAAGAAGGACAACCGATCAAACCACACAAACGAACATTGCAGTTAAATTTCGAAAAAGGCATGGAGAGTGTCTTGGGAGTCCAAACCGACCAAGCCATCCGACTCAATCCAGATATCAATCAACTTGCCAATCGCCGCCTCCAGCGTAAATCAAGCTTTTATGGTACTGAGTTTGTCCCCATCGATTCCCCCGAACCCAGCACCCAGCCAGCCCAACCACCATCTGAAATGAATGCAACTGAAGCTCAGCGATCGAAGAATAAGAACAAATATCAGGAAGATGGCGAGCCGACTGAGACCAGAGTACGTCGAAAATCTTCGTCCCTAATCTTTGAAGTAAATGACAAGAGTCCTTTGTGGCAATTCTGACTTGCCCTGCCATGCATTTTGTGATCGCCTTAGCATGTCATCGGAAGCGATGGCTTGCCCCGTCCGTCGACTTGTTATATCTCTAAACCACCCAACAAAGTTCCGATGGTTTTCACCGATGTTTCCGAATTCCCTCGAGCTCCTAAACCGATGAGCAAACGCAAGGCCAGATATTATCCCAAAACTTCTCTCCTACCGGATTATTCGGCGCAACCTACCCGCTCTAGCCCATCCTCTGCGCGTCGATCACACTCTACAGCAGCAGCAACGATAGCTTCAGTTGAACAACTGAATAACCCACAATTTCCCCCATCAAATAGTGATATTCATGAGACTGCTGCTGCTTCGAAAGCGCAGCAGGAGAAATCGGATGAAGAAAAGAGAAATCTTGCCGGTCGACTACTTAGACAGCTCAAGGGTTGTGCGAGCTCAGAAAATGGATCGAAATTATTAGATCAACTCAGTACCTCGCCTGATTATTCGGAGTTCAGTAGCTTGACCGGTATCGACGCGGACGAAATCAAGGAATCTTTGTTGCTCCGGGCAGGAGGGCTATCATTCAAAACCTCGGGTGGTAAAAAAATTATGGAGGAGTTTCATCCAGATCGGATCAACTCGATCAGAAATGAAAATGAAGCTCCTGTATCGGAGGATGAGAAACAGATTCGATCGATCAAATTGGAAATGATCAAATCGATTTACCTCAAAAAATTAGAACTCAATTCATCTGGAAGGTTATTGTTACCCAAATCGATTCGAACGAAAGAAGACAAGGATCTCAAAATCCTACAAAGCGCCGGATCGACATCTTCAACTTCCAGTGCGGATCAAAGTAGTTGTAGTAGTACCTCTGGTCCAACTCCGTCGAGCTCTTCGGATTTGATCAGCAGTCGGAGTAACCAATTGGTCCGCAAATGCATGAAAGGCCCTCTCGGCAGGATCAAACAGAGACAACTTCTGGCTAACCGAAACCAATCTGCTAATCATTGAATCTCAACCTCGACAAAAACTCTTGCGGAAACAACTTGCGATCTTTGTTCACTCAATACTCATCTGATTTGTCCGCTCAAGTTGTTTTCTCTTATTTGAACAATCTCTTCTCTTTTTTTATGTCGTTTAGCTTTTCAATTCTTTCGTCTTCAGCTTCTCATACTCTGTCCTTTTTCTCTTGTGTTGACATGTTCAGATGAGAAATAATAAGTTTTTCTTAGATGGTAATGCACGGATTTACGTAGGAGGTGAACGAATATACTGCTGCAATTACGTATCATCACAACCAGGAGTCTTAATAGCTCAGTTGGGAGAGCGTCAGACTGAAGTGCCTGTGTTCCTTACGAGCGGGGTCAGCATCATCTGAAGGTCCAGTGTTCAAGCCACTGTTGGGACATCACTTTTTTTTCTGGTGGGTAGAGGGATGACTGCTGTTGATTGGGAGAAGCTTGTGCTTAGTTTTCGGGTCGATCTTTATAATTGTTCCTTTGTGATTGTAATCCTTGGAAAGCACAGAATAATTCTATTTTTAGGTAACTAACAAGTCCACAGGCTAGTTGAGAATGGAATGAGATCTCACAAGTTTTTAACGGTATACTTAACTTAATATTATATCAAAAGGTAATAAATCACAACGGGTTCGACTTCTTCACAAAATAAAAGAATAAGAAACTACTTCAGAGGAAAATGGGATAAAAGACTACTTCAGAGGACGATAGGGGTAAGAACTGCTGGAAGAAAGAGATAGTGGATACTCCATTCATCAAGTGGCTTGAAAATTGAGAACAGTCTTGCGGGTTTGTTGGTTGCCATAGAAAACAGTGGGAGAGTCAGGAGGAGAAAGGAAATTGTCCAAAGTCTTCCCCCGCCAAGACGCTTGGGTATAAGTGGTATCAAGATCGGCTCAATTAGAGCTCCTAAACTTTGGACTACAAAGCACAAGAACACGCAGAATATCTCTAGTCGCGAAACATTCCCGTGGGAGGTGGTGGGATCTGCCATTAGAAAGAATGCTACAGACACATACAAAAAGAGCCACCATCAGATTAGAGATACTCAACATAACTCTTTGTTCGGAGAAATCTTGGGGGAACTTACGATAGGCGTGCATGAAACCACTAGCCATGAAAGCGCCGACAAAGCCCGCCATCTTCTGGGCTTGAGTGCTGAATCCTAGAGCTCGTGCCATACCACCCAGTGGGAATGCTCCCAGAACGACGAAGGACCGACGGAAAAGTTGATGCCAGGTCTTTCCCCAAAATTCTGATAACGAATTGAACGCAAAGACATTTTCGAAGAGCGGCGGATAGTAAACCGGGTCGGCGAACTCGCAAATCACATCAGGGAAACCAAGTCGGCAAAGAAGTGGATGTGTGAGGTGGGCGAGGACCGCTAGGGCCGAATTCATAGCTTCGAACGAAGCACAAAGACCCGTCAGTAGAATCGGGGTGCTCATGAATCGCGCCATAAATACGATGGTGGGCAGGGATACATTTCGTCCAAAAAAAACAAAAGATTGAATCGTTGAAGTGGTTGACAGTTTCTCCATGTAAAGCAATCCCGCCAAGACTGTCAATGAATAGATATGACAAATCAAAAATTTCAACATGTCGCAGCCCAAACTGTTGTGATTCAGCTTTGAGAAGTGACCCCAAGGAAATTGTGATCCGCGCATACTGATTTTTTTCAAAACAAATGAGAAGCAAACATCACATTTTATTAGCCTCGATGTCAACCAACCAGGAAGTGTTTATTTCTTTCTTTCTTCCAAACTTCTTAGAAACGAATGATCAATTGACTCACGATGTCAATTGCAATAGAACCTGATCTATCAGTGAGCTAGGAGCAAGTCGATCTTTCAGATTTTTCTCCGCAGCTTCCCATGCCCCGCCTGAATCATCACTACTTCTAACATATATTCGCCGATGTTGCGGTCCTGAGAAGAGTCCCCAATCGAGGCATTTGGTCATCATAACGTAAGTCCATGCAAAATTTCCGATGTTGGCCGACACTTTGGTCTCCCTAGGTTCCACGAGGTATAAGAAAGGGTAACATAGCCACCAAGTGGCTGAGATGAGTGAGAGTGGAACTCGAAGGCAGCGCGCAAGTCTAGAGTGATAATATTTAGGGTGAGTCCAGGCGCAAAGTACCAAGCTGAGGAAGAAAAAAGATTTGGTGGAATGTTGTAGGATCGATTTATCCGGCATGAGCCCAACGAAATTATTCCAGATACCAGACATTGAAGGAAAGACGGGCTAATGAAGGGCTAAGAGCTAGAAGATCTCGCCTTTGAGAGAAACTGAGGACTTTCTAAATTATTGTGGAGGGGTATTTAAACGAAAGTGGACGAGCAGTCACCTGAGGCTGTGTTAACACAGAGGAGCAGAAAAAATAAAGTAAACTTCAACGATGGATTATCGGATAAATACCCTTTAATTGTCAGCATGACATCCATCTATTCCCATACATACCTCAAGATCAATCGCGGTGAAGAGGACTCCCTCAGATAGGCTCACAGTTCTACTGGGCTCCTTAAACCTTTCCTCCACTTCGAAATACGTACTAGTCTTATAACCCCGTCACTGGAACTTGTGATAATCTGCGTGCTCTGTAGGAATTCCTGCCATCAGGAGGAAGCGGGGCCAGTATGTAAGCAGTTTTGATCGAGTTCAACCATTGTGAAGTACATTCTCGATGATACATCAAGAGCTCTTTAAAGGAATACTCACTAACCTGTGTGCAACAGACTCAGTCCGACCTTGTTAAGTAAGGAAAAGCGGCGCGTGGCTGCTGGTATGATTAACAAATACAGGGAATCGATATAGGGGTGGTGTCTGAAACTTTTCATGAAAAGGTTAGGTTAGGTTACTCAGAACTTCATAGCTGCTGCTGCTGCCAGCTACCGTGTAAGCAAAGTGTCAAACCATCTGTTCAACCATCTTCATCAGCATCCAATTCCATTCCTCAAGGTTTTGGCGCCGTCGGCAGTTGAATCCTGTTGAATCTCTTGACAAGTCCTCGATCGTTGAAAGCTCGTGAGGGCAGCCCAAGGCCCCAACTGGACCGGGGCGACAGGTTTCAGTGTGGTGGGATGTAAACTTTAGACAACAGCTGCGCCAAGACTTGGTCAGTTACATTTGAAGTGCAGCGGAAATGGAAGCCGCCATTTGATGCTTCCACCTTTCAACCAGTCGGCTGCATCTACCGGGGTGACAGCTCTCATCCTGTCTCAACGGGTTTGCTGAACATTTCAAACAGCACCTCGAACCTAATCTTTGAGCAGCATGTATGTTGGGGAATTGTCACCAGAGAAGCTGCAGGGCGTGCGATGTCAGTTTTTTACCAGAAAACGTGTACAATTTTAGACCGTTTCCATGTGAGGGATTGACAGCACCTCTGCATGGCAAAGTCTCTATGTACCTCGCACTAGATGTTGTATAATTGCCAATCAGCAACGACAGCACCCCCGGGGAGAACCAGGGCCCGGTGACAACGTCTTTCTGACTTGAACAAATCAGTAGGTCTTTTGTATGAAAATGTAACCCTGCTGTTTGCTGGCAATTCAAAAAAGTCCCATCAAACATAATATGAATCAACCTACAGAATTTTATTGATCTGTGCATGCTTTTGAGACCAACATTAACTATTTTTGGGGGGAAGATATTCTTGTTGAAAGTTAAAGATCAAGATTGGGTGGGTTAGCCTAGTTCATCCCACAAAATTACTGGACATACCAAGCCTGGCCCCAGACTCCTGAGGTAGACACAAGCTGTCCAGTTCCAATGAGCCAGGAGGCCTCCAGTTCAAATGGGTTGACTGTGGGCATTCTACCAGGGGCCCAGAGGTCAAGTAGTGCAAGATGGTCAGATTTGAAAGAATGGGTGTATTTTAAGCTCATATGAGGGGGATGTGTTTTGTTTCTATGTTCTTAATACTTTTGAACACAAATCTTGAAAAGAACACCAACACAAGAAATAACCTGCATGTCTCTCATGGATAAATGAGAAACTCTTAAATGATAAAGAAATGAAAGAAAGAAATAAAACTTTTTACTCCTTAATTCAGTGCTAAACAGAGTGCCCAAATGTAGAGTTTGTGTGATGTGTTGTCTGAGACTCATTTGATTTGGTGCTTATCCAATGATACCCAACCTGAGTGGATCAGATCAAAGGCAGGCTGATGTTTTACAATGCAATATTTCAGCCCTTCTGTGTAACATATTGGCTCATCAAGTTTTCTTTCTTTCTTTTTATTATTATTTTTATCAAAAATGTCAATTTCCAACACTTTATCACACTTTGCAGACTAATACATTCTGTGACAACGACAAACATACCTGTATTCACTGTTATCAAGAGCTTTTCTTTGGTCCTCAATGTTATTATTACTGGAAAAAATGCCACATTTAGATAACAATAACATTGCAGAGTGGCAATTTTTTGTGATTTTCAAATGCTTGTCCAGTAAAGGTATAAACCGTATTATCCCACTGTTGATCAGATGGATCAAGTCCACTGGCAGCCCAACAGGGTCTCACCAAAAATTGTTTTCCTGGAGCTGAGGATGTAATTTATGCGTATTAGTCAGTTTAAGGAATCTCTTCTAGAGTCATGTATGATGAGAGAATTCAATATCATGGGTTGACCAATACAAAACCAATAGTTTTGCCCCATATTGTATTTTATCATGTATTTCAAAATGTTGCATCAGGGTGAAGCCTTTCTTGCTGTATCAATGTGTCAACCAGCATCAAAACATTTCCCTGAAAGCTGTATATAAGAGAGGACTCACCTTGGTTACAGTCCTCATACAGAACTCCATCAAGCATCAAGTTTTGTCAACAGTATTTCTGGGGGGTACCTGTAAATCTTGATGACCTCTCTCATACTGAGTTGTGGGTGAGCCACAAAGGAAGATTGCTAAGATGGCACAGGTGATCACTTCTTTTCAGTACATCAGATTGGGCAAACTGTCCAAAGAATTTGTTTTTTTCCAATACCAACAGGTCACAAACATTTACTATGCCTTAGAGCTAGAGGTTGTGATATTCTTCTAAGCTACTTAAGATTTTTTTCTTTTGAATTCATTAGTTTGTTTCCTCCCTAAATTAAACATATGATAAATAATCAACCACATATGAAGATGCTAAAAATCAAGCACTGTTTGCATGCCTTCCTTTCTATATCTGCAGGTCTTATTGAACCAACTATTTCCAGACCTGTTTTTGATCTATGTGGGAATACCCATGATCCACCCCAAGCAATAAAGGGTTTGAATTTCTCAAACTGCATGAGGCCATCCCCAAGACCCTCAGCAGAAGAAAGGATGACAAAGAAAAGCCGAACTGATGTGATGGAAAGGAGCTCAACTGATATGCATGTCAACAGCAGAGCAGACCAAGTGAATTTTTTTCCAGGTAATGAGAGGTTTCCCATCTCCAACCATGATTTTTTTCTACCTTCCATTTCACTCTACCCAAAGGTACTTTGTATGAATGGCTGAATGTAAATCTGTGTCTTTCTTTTTTTTTCACATCTGAGACTGAATGGTGTCAGTGAAAGTTACTCAAATCACCAACCCATTTTTCTCTGGGACCACTCATGATTTATCCCAAGAAACACAACATATCCAGCATTCAAATTGGATCAGGCCATCCCAAATGAGCTCAGATAGCACTCCTAATGGTGTGGTAGGATTCACTGTAAATGGAAATGATGATCAACACTGTGTGGATGACAAAACAACTGAACCATTTCTTTTCTTCACATTTGAGTGTTATCAGTCAAAATTCCCAAACTTACCAGCAATCCTGGAGCCTCTACAGATGCAAGGCTCCAAAGAAACCAGGAAGAGATTCATCCACCATGGCTTAAAACATATTTGGAACTATTGGACCATTCACCACCTCAGAATTCCCAAGATCCATACATGACTGGTGAGCTTAAGCTAAATATTTATAAAACTGGCAAAGCATCATTCAAAAAATACAGAGATCCATAGTAGGATGAAGTTACGAAAGATAAAATCTAGCTGTTCAAATAAAAAGAATTTTCTTTTGAGGGCTTCCCTCTTGAGAAATTTCTAGTAATATTATTTTCACAAAAGCTTTTGCTATATGGAAACTGAATATGTATGTGTCTATTTACTTCCAGGTGAATCAAACACTCAGAAGTTCAAATCAAACAACATTGACCTTCATGAAGGGAGGGGTAAACAAAAGGAGAATATATCTGAAGGATACATCTTCACTTCAAAGAAAGAAAAATACATTCCTCACTTGAATGTTCAAAACATGAGAAATTCCCAAAAGTTGGGATCAAAGAAGTCAAGTAAGTCTCATCTTAAATACCTCAAAATCCTAGCATTTTCAACATGATACTTGACTCATTTTCCAAACTTCTTTTGGGATAAAAACAGTTCAAAAACCTGTAATTAACACCAAAAAACTAGGACATCCCTCCAGACAAAGAAACCCTGCAGAAATAAAAAGTTTCCATCAACATCCAAAGATCCTTCCCTTTGAAGAAGTTGAAGAAGAGGCTGATTTTGCATTGAGTCTGTTTAAGAAAGAGTTCAAAGGAAAATATCCTGGAATAAGTTCAGCCCATTCACATCAGATTAAATATTCATTTATGAGATTGATCAGTTCAGTGTTTCTGTTCAATGTTAAGATCTTGAAAGAAGTTGGAATCAATCAAGCAGAAATAACAGCTTCTAATCTTGAAATAACCAAACATATAATCCTCCCTATGATTTTCCCTACTCAAAATCAAGTCTTAAGGATCTCACAACTCATGAAAACTAGACCTCAAATTACTCTTCTGGTGATCAATAGCTTTCAAAAAACTTTGCATGATCCAAGATATTCTAATCTTGTTGATAGCACATTAACCTTCTTGGTATATTTTTATTACCATAAATATCCTCAGAGACCGTTTTTGTCTAGAAAGAAGTCTCTAGATTTCTTAGTTAGACATCAAATCTAGGAGAAACATCACTCCCACTAACCAGATATTCCCATCAACTCTCTCAAAAATTCTTGATAGGCGGGTATCAAATATACCAAATCCACCATTACAAACCAGACATGTTTCCACAAATAAAATGCTGCATCAACGGGCCTCCAAACGGGTCAATTGGAGAACCAATATGTTTTAAAAAAATGATGGGTTTTTCCAAACCAGTCAATTAAATAATAGTGATTTTGGTTATATTTGATACCCACTAATGTTTCCTTTGTTATTTCTGATCTGTGTGTCTCATTGATTTCCTTCCTGATTCATTCCACAAAGTTACATTGATCATTTGTCCTTCAAATCAGATCTGAAAATCTGCTTGTTAGTTTGACTATGAGAACCTGTTTAGAGTAGTTAGATGTGTTCAGTCTAGTCTTATAAGAAAGATAACTTGATTGCATTCTTATTTTATTCATTTTATTCTATAACCACAACTTAGCCACCTTGTTTGGACTACTAGCATCATACAAGCACTACAGCCTCATTGGTTCCTTTCCCCCCTTTTCTTGCCTCTGATACAAGCCAATCAAACACCCAATTTTGTGGTTATTAAACAATTCTCTCTTGAGGTGGCCAAACATTCAACAAGATTCCAGGAACCACAGTCGGCAATTATGAACAAAACCTTCCAACATCCTGGTTGAGCCTGATTGACCAGACTGGGCTCCCACAGTTTGATTATGCAAGCATTACAACCCAAATGACCAGGATGGTTTCCTTAGTTGATTGAACAAACTGTATGATTTGATTGAGTGGGGATTTTTTTTTTTTTTTTTTGGGGGGGGGGGGGGATGGGGACAAGGACAACCTGGTGAACAATTAAAAAAACCTCCTTATATGATCTGGTTGCCCAGGGCGGAAGATGGCCTGATTGATCAGGAGGCCCGGCTGGGGTTCTTCCCCCCAAACCAACTGATCTATGTCAAGGATGATCAAAAAAAAAGGACAGCTCAGAGTGTACAGCGGCTGCCTGATTTATTACCTGTATAAACCACCTTCTTCCGGGGTCTGCCAGACTGCATAATCTGATTGACAGGGGGTGGAGTTCTCTTGTGATCTTACAATACAAGACATCCAATGAAGCCTAATCAAGCCATGTTAATGTTATAGACATCAAAGGCTTTCATCTACTACTAAGCAGTCGGAATGGAGAGGTCACTGAAGTCTGTCACTGATGAAGATCATTTTGTATTGCATTATTATGTGATCTCTTTTTTTTTGGATTTGGATTTTGAAAAACAACAAATACAGATAACAATAATAAAAAAAAAGATGATGATTTTTTTGTGATGACTACTACTACTATGTACTACTTGATGTAGCTCATTGATAACATAATTAGAAACATGAATTTAGATTTGAAAAAGAGTCTGTTTTTGTTTTTCTTCTTATTTTGGAGTGTTAGTTTCGAGTTTGTATACGATAAGATTTTGAAATAAGAGAGGAGAGAAGGGAGGAGGAGGAGGAGGAGGAAAAACAAAGAAGGAAAGATGAAGAGATCATGGAATACGAATAAGATTATTGACTCAAACAATGAGTCCCTTTTTTTGTTCTTCTTCTTGGTTGTTGTTGTTGGGTAGATACAAATACAGATCATTATCATCATCATCATCACACACACACAATAACAATAACAAATAAAACAATTACAAATAAAAGAAAGAAAGAAAGAAACGGTGAAAGAGGTGAGAAACGCGGACAACGACAAGGATGATGGCGATTTTTTTTTGTTCTTTTTTGGTTTATGACGATGACGATGGTGAAGGAAGAAGAAGGATAAGAAAAGAAAAGAGAAGGAAACCAAAGAAAGATAGAATATAAAGAACTAAATCAAGTAGAATAAGAGATTGAACATATTATATACAAATGACCAGATGAAGATTGATCATCAATTGTATGTAATGAGAATGAAAGAGAGGAAACGAAAAACAATTACCATCCGGTACGGTGAAAGCCTTTCGAAAAGTTACGATATTCTTTATTATTATTTGTAAGACTAGCGAGATGAGTTTTCCTGAACTGAGTAGAAGTAGTAGCAGCAGCGGCAGCAGCAGTAGACGTAGTAGTAGCTGTGGTAGTGCCCGTATTGTTATTATTATTATTGGGGTTCTGATTAGGATTAGCGATGGGATTATTAGAAGAAGAGGTGGAAGGATCGACAGTGGATGTAGTCGTAGAGGAATTGGGAAGATTAGAGGCATGTTGATGGTGACGAAAGCCAAGAGCCAACGACTCCGACCGATTGACTTCGACCCTCGAAGGAACCACGCCGAGCGCGAGCCCCTGAATCTGACGTTCCCAGAGCAAGTTTCTACGCACACTCTCTGTCATCTCGTTGGCGAGCATATTCCTACGAGTTGTCCGGGGAGACAGAGGGGGTGCCACAGGTTCGGGCCGGTTGGCGAGTAACAGGGCGCTGTTTCCGAGCGCTATCGGCTCCGTATTCGTCCCCGTCCTGCGCTCTAGTCTTCCTAATCGACGCTCCTGGTCTGCGCGTTTCTGCTCTGCTCTCTTGCCTCTCTCCTCGTCTCTTCCGCCTGATCCACCTTCTCCTTCCTCCGAGTTCGACTCCGAGTCTTCCGAATACTCTATGTTCTCCGGCTTGCCCCCTAGCCTGGACGGATGTCTCTGATGGGCCGGATGCGGCAAGCTACGGGTGGGCGGCTGAGGGTTGGCCGTGGTCGAAGGACCGGCGGTCGGTGCGGCACTGTTTCTCCGGGTCGGGGGACGATGACGGAGGGAGGAGTTGCCAGACAGACTCGAGGGAGAGCGCTGGACCATCACCGGAGGATCTTGGCCGGCAAGGACGGGCACGGCGACGGAGGACTTGGACTTGATCAGAGAGCAGGGTCGGGCAATCACTCCGATCGACGCCCTGCCCTGTCCCTCACCCTCCCCCGGCTTCCGCGAGGACGACGAGCCCGCCCGGCGCAGCTCGACCGCAGACTGATTCCGTAAGGGCCCGCCGAGAGGCTCCCCAGCTTGACGTGCTGCTCCGGATGAGGAAGTCGGATGGTGTTGAAGATGGTTGAGCTCGGGATGGAATAACATCGACAGACCGGCTCGTCGGATCGGAGCTGGCTGATCCTCCGATCCATCATGAGATCGATTTCGTTGTACGAAATGTTTCTTGGCAAACAACTGACGATGGTACTCCTCCTGCTTCCGTTTCTTCTCTAACTCTTGCTCTTGAGCTCGTGAATCATCCTCCTTGGTTTCATCATCTGAATACTCGGATCCCCATTCATCCGAATCCGTGCCTTCTTCTTCTTCTTCCTCCTCTTCTACCTTCACTTGTACCACCTTTTTCTCTGCTTGTTTCTCTGCTGAACCGACCTCACCAGTTATAACTGGTGGGGTATTTTGATTGGGTTGCACGGCTGTTCCAGTAAAACCTTCTGAAGAAAAAGATGCACTCGGGTTTAACAAAAAATAAATGGAAAATTAACAATCAATCTGTAGGTATTTGAATATATATGCTCACGAGCTATTTGTGCAACGGCCGGTTGAGCGGGAAAGGATGTAGGTGAGAAGGTTTTATTATCATCATCCGCCTCGTACTCTTTGATGAAGAACTTGGCCTTCTTCTTTGGAGCGGCGTTTGAAGTGTTGATGGGAGGGAGAGTCGAGGGCAGAAGAGGGCCACGATGATGAATCAGTTTAGATTTATTTTTGAGGCCAGCGGACATGGTAGTTGGCAGTGGGGCGCCGTTCTGTGAAGGAGTAGGTGGAGGTGCTGATGGCATGAAGGCGGATGAGCGACCGGTGGTATGTGAGGAGGCTAATGAGTCTGGGATCCTCCCATCTTCGGCTACATGAAATGGGGCTGAGACCTGTGAGTTATTAGGGGTCTCGGGTATGATTGGAGAGACTAGGCTGGGCAAGCTGCCTGAAGAGTTATAGCCAGCGCTGAGTGTTATCTGAGAATCAGGATCATGGGCGAGCGACGGTTGAGGTGGATGGTTTTGGGATGAATGAGGATGGGTGACTGAGGAGGGTGAGGTGATGAGCTGGGTGGGGTGTGATGGATCGAGAGGCTTGGGGGGCTCTTGGACTTGTTCGGGGGAGGATGAGGGTAAGGATGATCTACGGCAGTAGTAGGGTTGGACTAGACGAGGACTGACTGAACGAGTAGTGGATTGGTGGGAGTGAAGTCGGGTGGGAACGGGAGGGCGACGTTTGTGTTTGAAGGTGGCGGTGGATGAGGTAGCCCTTCGAGGGAGAGGGTGAAGGTTGTGTGCAGTATGCTTGGGACGATCGACTGTTTGTTTGATGTGTTTGTTATGATCCTGGTGGAGATGGTTATCAGGAGGGGCTTGGATGGATGGAGAGGTAGCGAGGCTGCTGGAGGTGTTTGAGCCACTGCTGTAGTGCTGGTCGATTGAGGGTCGAGATGGTTGTTGAAGAGTGAAGTAGCTTGAGGATGAGGGTGAATCTGAGGGAGGTTGTTGTTGTTGTTGTTCTTGTTGCTGGGGAGAGAGTAGCAGTTGTTGGTGGAGTGTAGGAAGCTGATGGGCTGATGTGGGTAGTGATGGTTGAGTGATGATTGAGCTAGTGGGTGGGGTGATAGCTGGTGAGGCTAGGATGGGTGGTGTGGGTGCGATGTTGATGATTTTGGGTGGTGGGTGTAGTTGGCTGGGTGGTGAGTTAGGCCTGGGAGTGATGTCGATTGAGGGTGACTGTTGATCGGAGGTGGTTATGGGCTGTAGTGGGTCTAGTGAGATGATGGAGTTGATGAGTAGGTTGAGAGTTCCTAGTAAAGAGTAAGGGCTGTTAGTATCCATCATCATGATGATTGCTATTGATACTTGATTTACTGACTGTTGTTCTGCTTTAGTTCTCGTTGCCATAATCTCCAGCTGAGGTTTTCCAATCGATGACCATCTTGGATGATTGGTTTTGATCTCGAGAAGGCTGTAGAATCGAGACCACAATGTACAAGTTAGTGCTCTTGTCTCTTGATAGCTGTCATTCAGTTCGCTCACCCAGCCAGAGTGTTCCGATCGGTAGTTCATCCTTGAGGTTGATAGTCAGGTTCATCATCTGCTTGATAGGTTTTTTTGGGGGGGCTGAAGAGAAAAGCAGAAGAAGAAAAAAAGGGGAGAACGAGAAGGGAGTGGGAGGGAGTGGCAGCGGAGTGGGAGAGAGTGAGTCCAAACCCCATCGGAAATCAACAGACCTGTCACAGAAAAACACAAAAAACACAAAAAACACACAAAAACACAAAAAGCCAGCCGGGTCCAGATCACCAGACACAAACTGTACATGTGACAGTACTGCAAACAGAATCAGCTCCCCCTTCATACCCAAACACTACATCCTCAAAAGCTACTTGGCCCTTGATGAAACTCAGATAAGAAGATTCATTCTTATGTAAGCTGCACTAAAAACCATCAGGAGCTGTACATAATGTTATTATATTGATTGATGACTGATTGAGATCTTCCCATCAATACATAACATAATCTCTAGTTTGTCTTTCTCTCTCTTTGGATTCAGAAGCTCTTACTCTCTCTGAGGTTCTGATCAGTAAACTATACCAGTACCACTTATAATAGTGCACAAAAAGAAACTATGTTTTGTGAGTGGCCATTTTCATGGCATAGATATAAATACATGATCACTAAGACAGTAGCACTTGTATCAAATCTGGCAACTTAGCATCCACAGTTTTCTGTACAGAGCAACTTGCCAAATACTCATGCCAATTTCACTTGCAATCACCTGAGAAACCCCCTACTGCTACACCAGAGATGGCACTTTGCCCCTTCCCATCTGTAGGTGCATCTCCCTGCATGAAATTCCACTCATCTTGGACACCCACTCCCAGAACATGCTGGCACCCACCAACAGTTACAAACAGGCATGTAATGTCTGTTTCAGCCACAATTTATGGCCAGTTACCCGCCTGGGATTTCACTCAATTTGGACATCCACCAATGGGTGTCTGTCATACTAAACTGGCAGGTACCTGCAAACAGGTTTCTGCAGCCATCCCCACCCTATACATTAGCCAAAAAATTGTAAGAGTGCTCATGAAACAAGAAATTTTTGCATTCTTTCCAAAGAAAAAAACCCTAAACTGTTCACACATATCATCCGGAAGAACAGCATCCAAATGAAACCAGACTATTATAGCTGTCCTCATTGTTTGATGATTTTCCCACCTACTATCCATCATGAACTACCCAATTGAGAGCGGGGAATCCTGTTGGTGAGTGTAACAATTGATTTCCTGTAAAACCAGCTGGGCTTGGTAGTTTCAAGTGATAGGGAGGAGTCACCATTCAATTAAATCTAGAATTCAATTTCAGATTGGTTGACCAGAGTGTATGTTATTTTTCAGCTGTTTATATGTTGGTAAAGCAACCAGCTGAATGAGAGTGATGGTGATGAGTCAAGACTGAGCAAGATTGATGAATCATACTGTGTATCCTACAGCTGCCAATCTAATCAATCTAATCCCATTTGTCATGTATTCACATAGTGGAAGGGGTGGACAATGATGTGTGTTGGATGTCATTGTTGGTCTGTGAGAGTAGTAGGTAGCCAAGGCAGATCTTTGAAGAAAAAAAATTAAGAGATTGGTGTTGGAGTCACCAAAACCCAGATTACACTACACCTTTCAAATTCAACAGATTAAGTGGAAATATCCCACAGCCCATGATTTCTACATAAAAAACACATTTTTTAAAACCTGTGCAGGTTAAGTCTGATGAGGTTTAGTGACAATGCTCATCTATTCTGAATATTAATCTACCACTCCATATTTGATCCAAGATAAAAATCAACTCTCCCCTACCAATCACAGGTACCAAATTGTTGTTAAGCTCTCCTCTAGATGATTGGTACACAACAGAATTGCAAAAACCCCTTCAATGACCAGCTTACAAATTTGATTGATGATGCTTTTACACATCCCAACTGAAACTAATTTCTGGCCCAATAATTGTGGGGCTCTCTACACACTTTCCCCTCAAATTCATTAGGGCAATGTGCACATACTGTACTGGTTGAATATCATGAGAAGGATTATCTGTTCTTCATTCAGTTCTGACCAGTGGACTGTTGGTTTTCAAGGAAGTAAACACTCTGAATCTTTCACTTTCCATTAGCTAAATTGGTTAAAAACTTCTTGTTGAATGGTTCTGATTTGTAAGTGGAGATAACTGGGTTGGGATTTTGAGGTTGATTTGCTTGACAAGTAGCAGATGTGAAGAAATTAGGAGTGTTTAATCCAGAGAAATGAGAACTGGGGATTTGAAAGTTCTTTGAGTGGCACAACAGAAGGGGCTCAATATGGCACAGTTTTGTAAATGAGAGAACCAATGGTTTTTGATTTCTTGTAACTAGCTGATATAAATAGACTATACAAAAGGGCCAGAAAGTGGTTGGAACAAAAAAGAACAAAAAAGAAACTCAATTCAAAATGATACAGTTGCGGACGGCATAGACCGACCCAGGATTTTTTGGATGTCCGAATTGGCGAGCCAAAAAATCAGGATTTTTTTTGTTTTTTTCAGACTTTTAGGCTTTTTTTAGCCTTCAAACTGCTTGGAATATACTGTAGAGCATTCACCGATGCATAGGGTAGATGCTACAGGTATAATAGAGGAGTCTATAAGGTATAACCCCATGACTATGCGTGGTTAAACCCCATAGTTATGGATTTAGGCATGGCTTTTGTTAGGCATGTCCGAATACATGCATTTGGCAAAAAAAAAAATAAGAACCGCTGTTGCAGAGGCTTAGCGGTTATAATTCTGAGCTCTACACATGTGTACGAGTTCAAAACCGCAATAAAATTGGGTGTGTGGGTATATGCCCCCCCCCCGGGGATAGGCCCCGCATGTCAATTTTAAATTTTGCGGGTGGGGCAGGGTCGGTTTATGCCGTCCGCAACTGTATGCATCAACAAGGAAGAATTCACACAGGAAGACAAGTTTAGCTATAGAGCTGATAAGCCCTATTCTTCAGGGTTCTCTTGACCTCAAGAAGTTGGGTCAGACATGCATAACATAGACTAGAGACAGGCTATAATGAAAGAAAAATTTCATGTGAAAATATCAAATAAGAGTAGGATTTTTGCCATGAGTAAAAACAGTATCAGAATTTCAACAAGATGAAATGATTGAGGGCCTGTACCTCAGGGAAAGAGAACTTGATTTGTCATAATTCATCTTTCTCAAATCACCAGGAAAAATCAATGCTCACTGAGTCACTAGATGGCAAGTGAAATCATATAACATTGATCACTGATAGAAATCCACCATTAGAAGCCAGTGACTTTTCCAAAAATAAAGTTTTGCCTCAATGAGTCCCCAAAGGGGGTAAATAAAGAACCAACATGTTTAATTGGTGGATTTTTCCAAACCATTAATTTTAATCAATATGTAATTATTCCGGGGGTTGGAAAAACAACTCCCAAATTTCAGTCAATGAATCCCAACAACCATTTGCGGACGTTCATTGGGATTTGTCTTCTACTTTTGGGGCTGCTTTTGGGAGTCATCCCGCTATTTTTTTTCTTCAATTTTTTTAGGAGAGGGCCAAACCACGCCTCATGCATGGGGGGGGGGGGGGGGGGAATTTC